TTTTGGGGAAGGGGGGTGGGAGTTTTGGGGAAAAAACGGGAATTTCAGGGGAAAAAACGGGAAATTTCAGGGGAAAAAACGGGAAATTTCAAGGGAAAAAACGGGAAATTTCAGGGGAAAACCGGGAAATTTCAGGGGAAAAAACGGGAAATTTCAGGGGAAAAACGGGAAATTTCAGGGGAAAAAATGGGAATTTTGGAGGAGGGAAATGGGAATTTTGGGGAAAAAACGGGAAATTTCAGGGGAAAAAACGGGAAATTTCAGGGGAAAAAATGGGAAATTTCAGGGGAAAAAACGGGAAATTTCAGGGGAAAAACGAGAAATTTCAGGGGAAAAACGGGAAATTTCAGGGGAAAAAACGGGAAATTTCAGGGGAAAAAACGGGAAATTTTAGGTGAAAAAATGGGAAATTTCAGGGGAAAAAACGGGAAATTTCAGGGGAAAAACGGGAAATTTCAGGGGAAAAACGGGAAATTTCAGGGGAAAAAACGGGAAATTTTAGGTGAAAAAATGGGAAATTTCAGGGGAAAAAACGGGAAATTTCAGGGGAAAAACGAGAAATTTCAGGGGAAAAAACGGGAAATTTCAGGGGAAAAACGGGAAATTTCAGGGGAAAAAATGGGAATTTTGGAGGAGGGAAATGGGAATTTTGGCGAGAAACAGGGATTTGGGTGGAAAAATGGGAATTTCAGGGGAAAAAATGGGAAATTTCGGGGAAAAAATAAGAGGTTGGGGGAAAAAATGGGGATTTGGGGGAAAAAAAGGTGAATTTCGGAGGGAAGAAATGGGGAATTTTTGGGGAAAAATGGGTATTTTGGGGAAAAAACCCAGAAATTTTGGGGGAAAAAAATGGGAATTTTGAGGGGGGAAAACGGGGAATTTTGGGGGGAAGAAACAGGAATTTTTTTGGGAAAAAATGGGGATTTGGGGGAAAAAATAGGGGTTTTGGGGGAAAATGGGAATTTTGGGGAAAAAATGGGAATTTCAGGGAAAAAAATGTATTTTCACGGGAAAAAAAAAAAGGGAATTTTGGGGGAAAAAAGGGGAATTTTGGGGATTTGGGAAGCTGGGAATGGGGAAAAGCTGGGAAAGGGGTGGGGTTATTCCCGGCACAAAGCGTCTCTCTCCACTAGAGGACTCTGCCTCCCCCCGAACGGCCCTTCCCGGGAATTCCTTCCCTTGGAATTCCCATTCCCAAGCACCACCACCCTTCCCCTCTCCCAGCCCCCAATTCCCTGGGGATTCCCAGAATTTCCCCACCGGGCAGGGGGAGCTTCCCTGCTGGAGGCTGTGCTGGCCCCTTCCCAAGGGGGCCAGGGAATCCCGGCCCCGATTCCCGGGAATTTCCCAGGGAATGTCGCACTTCCCACCAAACTGAACTCGGACCTGCGGCGCTGGCTCGGATTTTTGGGAGTTTTTTGGAGGATAAGAGAATTCCCCTCAAAACCCGGAATTTGGGTGTTTTTCCCTGAAATTTCACTTCTCCCAGCTCCAACTTCCAGGGAAAATTAATATGGGAGCAGGGGAAACCAACGGGGTTTGGATCAGGCTTCGGTGTGGAGGGAAAAACCGGGATTTAAATCCGGGAGAAACACAACCGAGCAAATCCATCCGTGCTGGGATCGCCGCTCCATGGCTCCTCCAGGGAGAATTCCCAAACTTTGACAAACTGCCCTGGATTCCTGTCCAATCCCATTCCCGCTTCTTGGGAGTGTTCCCATGGATTCATCCCATGGATTTACCCACTGGATTTAACCCTCCAATCCCTCCAGAGATCCCTGAGGATCCCCCTTGTGCTGGGATCACTGCTGGGTGATCGGAATTCCCAAATTTTAATGGAACCAGCCCCCATTCCCATCCCACCCAGGGCCATTCCCACGGATTTATCCCATGGATTTAACCCCTCAATCCCCGTGGAGGGATCTCTGCTGGGATCCCCGCTGGCCGATTCCCCCGCACAGAGAATTCCCGGTCTCTGATGGAGCCGGCCCCCGTTCCCCGGATTTCCCGGGCGGAATTCCCGGGCGGAATTCCCGGCATTCCCGGTCTCACCTCGCAGCGGAAGGGCTTTTCCCCGGAGTGCTGCAGGGAGTGCACCTTGAGGGACATGCTGCGCTTGAAGGACTTGCCGCAGGTCTCGCAGGTGAAGGGCATGTCCTTGGTGTGCGCTGCGACACAGAGCGGCGTCACCGCCGGGAAACGGCGGGGAAAACACCCGGGGAATGCGGCATTCCCGAATCCCGGCTGGGCCGGAAAATTGGGAGAACACCCGGGAGAATTCGGCATTCCCGAATTCCGGCTGGGGGAACAGGGCTGGACCCCGCCGGGAAATAGCGGGAAAAACACCCCAGAGAATTCGGCATTCCCAAATTCCAGCTGGGAGAACAGGGCTGGACCCCTCTGGAAAACCGGGAACTGCCTCAGGAGACGCCTTTCCCAATCCCAGCTGGGGGAATGAGGCTTATTATTATTATTATTATTATTATTATTATTATTAGCATTAGCATTAGCATTAGCATTATGATAATATTATATATATATACATTATTATTAATTATATTATATTAATTATAAATAAATCTATTCAATCATTAATAGTAATAATAGCAATAATAGTAATAGTAATAGTAGTAATAATAATAATAATAATAATAATAATAATAATACCTGTCCCTCCATCCCTTGTCCCAGTCCCTCTCCTGGAGCCCCTCCAGGCCCTGCAAGAGGCTCTGGGCTCTCCCTGGACCCTTCCCTTCTCCAGCTGGACATTCCCAGCTCTCCCAGGCTGGTTTTTCCCGGCCGTTCCTGGTGTTTCCCAGCCATTCCCGGTGTTTCCCGGCCATTCCCGGTGTTTCCCGGCCATTCCCGGTGTTTCCCGGCCGTTCCCGGTGTTTCCCAGCCATTCCCGGTGTTTCCCGGCCGTTCCCGGTGCTTCCCAGCCATTCCCGGTGCTTCCCGGCCCTTCCCGGGACTCACCGACCATGTGTTTGCGCACGTGGGCCATGGTGTAGAACTTCTTCTCGCAGATCTCGCAGGAGAATTTCTTCTCGGCGTAGCCGTGCACGATCTTGATGTGCTCGTGGAGCGACCAGAGCTTCTTGAAGGATTTGTTACAGGACACGCACTGGGGGGACACGGACGGGCGGCGTCAGCGGGAACGGGGTGACGGGAGTGGGACTGGAACCGGGAATGGGGCTGGGATTGGGGGATT